TCGAGTTTTCATTCGGCAGCCATTATGCTTTCCTTTATATATAAGGACACCCATACCGCGTCTGTTTGGCTGTTTGTGTCCCCTAGGGGCTTCCATAGCTTCCGTAATCTCAGATGTAAGTTGCTAGTGTGTAGAAGGCACGAAGCATGAATGAGTGAGTGAGTGAAACATAAATTATTATATGTGACTGATTGTGGTCAGTTAATTTATTGACCATTAAAAATAGTTTTTAGGTTTTAATTATGTGGGCATTGTTTTCACGAGATCCTGCCAAAGATTTTCCGTATGAAATTGGTGAGGTTGTTGATGGTCTCGATGGTAAAAGCATTTGGACACTTTATAGAGCCAAAAAAAAGGTAAGTTAACCTTATGCATCAATACATTGTAATCGTTTTTAGTATGTATTTTTTTGTTGAGGGATAAAGTGGAGTGTTTTGGGTACCTTTGAGTTTTCAATTCACTTTTAGGAGTACTTTTCTTGGATGTTCCAGGGCACTGGTGGAGGCGAGGATGTGTCAGTGTTTGTTTATGACATCAAGGCTGGCGGAGAAAGTCAATTGGAGATCGCCAGAAATGCAGTAAAAAGATTGAAGACGCTCAGACATCCAAGTATCCTTACTTATGTCGACAGTCTAGAGGTAATTTTGTGATTTCCGACATTTTCGCTCATAAAACTGCCAATTTAATCAAAAATTTATTTTATTCAATTTACGCTATTAAATAGTTGATGAATCATTTGTGAGCTACGGAAAAGCTTGTTCCTTCAAATGGATGCGCGAACACCAAAGATTTTGAAGTTCCAAAGTATTGATGAAGGTTTCTGAGATGACTTGAGTTTCTTTTTCAGACAGATAAAGTTATTTATTTGGCGACAGAACGTGTGGAGCCTCTTCATACAAGATTGTTGAAAAAAATTGATATTGGAGAAGGTATTAAAAAGGAATTGTACTTTTCTTGGGGAGTCTTTCAAATTACTGTGAGTGAATCCGATGTTTTATCAAGATTTCAAAGAATTAAGGAGATCCAAGTGATTAAAAGATCTATATCACATCAAAGATTTCAATAGTGATTGAATTACTGTACTCAGCTGCAAAAGATCATTTCAACACTTTAGTTGAATTTCATAACACCGAAATTAAACAATACATTTTCGAAAATGGTATATTCAATAACTAGGAGAATTCGTAGGGAAGAAAACTTCTTGAAGACCTTGTAAATTTCAAAACTTCTCAAGCTCCAACTGAAAAAATTTTCATTTATAAAGTTTTTTTTTGTCATAGAAATTGGCAATAATGATGAAATAGTGTGAAGTAGTATCATGTTCTCTCTTACTACACTGTTAGTACTACTGAGTAAATTCATTTTTAAAGCAGGTTATTGGACCCTGATTTCCAACGGAAATTCCCCTGACTTAGACATGAAATTCTTTTTCCTCATAGAGCATACAAAAATACTAGAATAATTATGGTTTTACACCATGTTCATTGTTATTACAAGCAATTTATATTTAGTGAGTCAAGTGATTCATGTTAGTGAGTTCGCCACACGTACACTTTTTAAAATTGTTTTTTACGTGCTTGAAGAATGAACGTTTGGATCTCCTAAAGAATTAAAGTCCAATAGGAAAATTTCACGGTGTTAATAAAATTAATCATGATGTTTTGTATCAATTTAGAGGGCACTTAGTTTTCTAAATAACGATGGCAATCTTCGTCATAACAATGTAAATTTATACTCTGTATTCGTGAATGACGAGAGTGGAGAATGGAAATTAGGATGTGTTGAATACATGACGTCAGTGGATGCACCTTATACATTTTTACCTCACTCTTTACAACACTATAGTCCTCCTGATGCTCGAGACAATGCAAAACCCTCCACGAAATGGTAAATGTTCAATGTAATTTGCGTACTTGATTTTGGGAATCAAGACGCTGGAATCCTTCATCCTTGTAATATTTAGGTTTAAAATGAAATATTGTCTGATGAAAAAATGTGAACAGCTCAATTGACATGTGGGGACTCGGATGCCTCATCTGGGAAGCGTTCAGTGGACCATTACTAGGACAAAGGGAAAATTTAAAAAATATTGATCAGGTAAATCAATGAATCAGGAGTAGATTCGTTCCTTTATTTCATTCAACTTGGCGACTGGATTTTTTTCAACGGTTCATTCCTGTCAGAATCAAGCCCTTCGATCTGGGAATAATAGAAAGTCTGCGAAATCTGTCATTATAGAAATAATTTCTTATTCAATAACCCGTATGAAAAAATTCAATAGAAAAACTTACCGAATTCGCTAGAACATTCTAATGGAATTCTCTAGAAATTCTATTGAGATTACTAAAATTCTAGAGAATTCTCGTTAAAATTCTATTTGTTTTTTGCGCTGATTCTATGAGATTTTTTTATAGAAAAAAGTCAATAGTTTTCGATTTTTCTATATGAATATTAGAATTTCTCTTAGAATTTTCTCTATAGGAATACTTGGGCGTGCATTTTTTGCGTGTTTTTCCATTCGGATCCTGCATTGGAAAACAAAATAAAATATAGTGGAAAAACGTAGAAAATCCGTGCCCAATAGTTTCAATAGAAAAAATCTCAAGAGAAAAATTCAAAATAAAAATCTAAATCTGTTGACTTTTTCCTATGAAATATTTAATATAATTTGCGCAAAAAACAAATAGAATTTTGACGAGATTGCTATCGAATTTTCTAGCAAATTCGCCAAGGTTTTCTATTAAATTTTTGCATACGTGAAGATTTGACGAAATACATTGTTGTGTTTTACCATTTCATCCTTATAATTATGATTTAGAACACAGTTGTATTCGGTAAACGGATAAAACAATCCGAGAAAATGAACGGGAGAATTCTTTTGTAGTTAATTTGGAATTGAATAGTTTTCTCTACCAAAGAAAAAAAGTATTCTGAAAAAGTATTCTCTATCAAATACCTCCTGAATTTTCGATTCTCTTGAGTTGGTCTAACATGAAATCCGAGAATCAAAACTTTCAATAAAAACACAAAAAAAATTACCTTCAATTGATTTTTCCCAGATTCCAAAACAATTGATAACAGTCTATTGTGAATTAACGGGCTCAAACGCTGAGGGTCGTCCGAATCCGGCGGACGTAATAGCCAGATGTCGGAGTAATGGAGGATTCTTCAAGAACGACCTGGTCGATGCCCTTCTCTTTCTCGAGGAAATTCAAATGAAGGAAAAAGGTGAAAAGGGTCGTTTTTTCTCGCAGTTAGCTGGACAATTGGACAGCTTTCCAGAGGGGGTTGGGAGGTACAAAATACTACCACAGTTGCTCGCTGCCTTTGAGTTTGGGGAAGCAGGGAGTGCAGTTTTACCTCCATTATTGCAACTAGGTAGTCAATTACCTGACGTTGAATACCAACGTCGAGTTGTCCCATGTGTTATCAAATTATTTGCGTCCAATGATCGTGCGACGAGACTGAGACTTCTGCAACAGCTTGATCGATTTGTAAATCATCTGCAGCCTTCTACAGTAAATGATGCTATTTTCCCCCAGGTAACTTTATCACTTTATTATTGAAATTATTATTTTTTATGAGCTATCTATAAAAAAAAGAATCACTATTATCTATGTTTACAGTAATCTCATAATTTTCTAAGCTTTAATCTGGAAATAGACTGTATAGCTAAAAAGCTGGGAAAATTTCCATTGAAAAATCCGAACTGACAACATTTATAATGGAGAATTCACGAGATTTCGAAGGAAAGAAGTTTTACAAAACATCATATTTTTGTAAAACTTCTTTTGGAACTGCTAAATATCAAAGCGCCACCTATGAATGGCGGATATTGGGCTGCACACAAACAGTATACAACCCAATTTGGGCTTGTGTAGCGTGTAAATGGGAAGCCTAAAATCGTTCATATTGGTGAAAACGAGTGCCGCCATCGGTAGTTAGCGGTCCCATTAGGGGCGGTCTATCAGACGGTATTTTATACTGAGGATTTTCTTAATTATGCAGCCTAATTTTTTTTCAAAAATTTGTACTTGACTCTTCATTCCATACGATTAAAGCTGGTTACAAAAATTAAGTGTAAAGTCTGAAGAAAAATTAAGTTCTGGGTTGTTATGTTTTAAATCCATTCACAAAATTTCAAATGGCGAAAGAATCGTTTCGGAGGAACCCGATAGTTATTTTCGGAATTTAACCTAGTTTCTTATGAAAACACATGATTTTTGTCGCTTTCGAATGGAAACATTGTAATCGTTCCAATTTAAGTTTCGGATTTTTTGTATTATATCAAGCTATTATAGTCCAAAAAGTTCAAATATTCAATTTTTAGGAAAATTGTAAAAACAGCTGAGTAGTCATGTGGTTTCGTTCGTTTTCAATTAATCATTCAAATTTGTGCTTATTGTTGAATAAATGAACGATAAAAATAATTGACGCGATGTCTGCCACTATCGAACGTATGCTATGTTTAATGTTTCGTCCCTCTCGAAAATAATCTCACTATCTAAATCATTTTACGCTCCACTCACCCGCGCGCCCATCTCCGTTTTGTCCTACTGAGAAGACCCCTTAAGGGGTAACATAAGGCCACCGTCTCCTCAAAATTTTCAAACAAATTTGCTGCTCAAAGTTATTAATATTTTTCGAACCCAAAGCACATTGATCTTTATCCGCATTTTCTTGGAGATTAATGTGCTTCAATTTGTAAAAACATTCATTACTGCGGACTGGAAATTTGCTCAAAAATTTAGAAAATCAGCGGCATTCTGTTATCCCTTAACGCCTGGATAGAGTTACCAACATCCCGTTCTCCCCGCCCCCCGCTGAAATCCATCATAATCAAAAGACGCAGTAGCGTCTTGCGTTAGGTGCCGGTTCAAACTTTCCGCCAGCGCAAGGCTACTGCGTATATATACATCTATTGGCGCCGCCGTAACTGCTCATCTACGTACTGCCGGACTGAGGAGATTGTAGCCCTGAGTGTCAGAGGTGGGAGACAACGATTGTAGTGGGGATTGGGAAAAGTGGGGGTAAATTTGAGGACCACAATCTCCTCAGTTCAACCATAAGTGCACGCTGTCCCACCACACGAGGGGAAGTGTTCCCAGACCATTACAATTCCCCTTTATGCCCGTTCTCTCTCTAACCTCTTCCGCTCTCTATCTACAATGTGCGAGGACTGTGCGCAATAGTATTCTGTTTACCCGGTACTTCGCCGTGTGTGGTTATCCATGATAATCGCGCGCAGTCGGGCTAGTGGCTCTTTCCCCTACCATTGCCTCTACACGTATCTCTTTCTAACTCAGCGCTCTTGCTCTTTCGCTGGCGAAGAAGGGTCCTTTCATAAGTGGAAATTCCGAGAACCCAAACCCCGGGAGGCGTGCAGTTATGGAGGTTTCACTGTATTATGCGAGACCGAACGCGCGGCACAGCGCGCTGTAATTGTAACAATCATAATTGAAAATCTCAAAATCAAATTAATCATGGATCACATTTGCCACCTCGGACAACTGGAACCAATGAGGAATAACCGTGACAGACTTGCGAGATATCGATAGCTATCGACTTTAAGTGTATGTTCTTTTTAGAATCGGACTAGCATAAGAAGGCACGCCGAGCGCCTTGACGGTTAGACCGGATTTGACGTGCATAGACATCGATTGATTTCATAAGTCGAGAAAAAATGATCGATATCTCTCAGTTTGATTATTTCGAGAATATCGCATCAGCTCCTTTAGTAATAAGGACTAGCATAAGAAGGCGCGCTTCACGCGCCAAGCGCCTTGTAGGTTAGACCGGATATGACGTGCATAGACATCGATTATGATATCTCGCAGTTTGATTATTTAGTGAATGCCGCATCAGCTCCTTTAGTAATAAGGACTGAATTCTGCCAAAGAAGTAACCTCGATTGAAGTGGTGGGGAGCACGAGCATAAGTGGGGATTTGGATAGAGTGGGGGTATACGGCTGAAGTTACTCCTTTGGCAAGAAGCACCTTATGCCTTTTTCTCTTACGACATCGTCCGCGCGTGCTTTCTCATGTCCTCACTTAGTGGCGCTTCGGTGTTAGTCTTATGCCTACGCTTATTCGAGATTTTCGAGATATGTCGAGATCGACTTCCTTTCTCCTTTTTACGAACGATAGAATTTTTTTCTTTTCAATTTTTTTTTTAAATTAATCATTTATCAACGTTCTCATTGTACTAAATATTAAGAGTAATGAAAACAATGCATCTCGATTCATCATCTGTTCAAATGCAATTTTTTAACAAGTCCCTACTTCTGAATTCTGATTCCCTACTTCTACATTTCTGTGCTTACTGAATAAGGTCTGATAGATTTTTTATTTCTATAATTGTAATTAAAATTGGAATTGTATTCAGAGTGTAAATAATCATGAAATTTCATATAGCCTAGAATTTTTCACCTTCATTCTCCTTTACTCTACCCTACAAAAGCGTTCAATTATTTTTCTAGGAAAATTATGTAACCAAATCTGATGCCTATTCACTAATTCGGAGTATCTTCTCCTTACTCATGATCTTTTTCATAGTTCCATTCAAAGATTTCATCAATTATAAACTTTGGTAACACATCTTAAATTTTCTCAAACTTCACATAAGATTCCGAAATCTTATAAATTTTTTTTATGTATAACTCAAAGATTTTGTAAAATTGTTGAGAAAATTGGACGAATTTCTCGTTTTTCAAAATTATTTTCTCATTTCAACCAATCAGCGTGCAGCCACGACGTTGATGCCCTTTCATTATGCCTTTTCTCCTTTTTTTTTTATTTGTTTCATTGTTTATTCATCGTTGTTCTTATCGTATTGAGTGTAAGATTAATGAGAACGATGCGTTTCGGTTCATTACCTGTTCACCTTCAATATTTCAAGAAGCGATTCACTAATTTTGAATTTTTGTGCTCACTGAATGAGATTTTTATTATAATTATGAATGAAATTCTATTTAGAGTGCAAAACAATAATCATAAAATTTCTTGTAGCCCCAATTTTTCAGTCGTCGACTCCTCCTTCATTCCCCTTTACACCGCTACTAAAGTATTCAATTATTTATCTGGAAAAATGATATACACAATTCTGATGCTCTTTTGCTAATTCAGAGTACCGTCATTGTATGAGTTATGGAACCTGTACGGGTTTTGGAACACTGGTCTATTTATTGAAAAATAAAATTCTAAACGTATTGGAATAATAGGGAGTTTAGTCGCGATGGTAGCCTGGTGTTTTTCGCATCCCCAGGGCTAGGTTTGGTCGGGGCGAGTGTGAGTGTGATAAAAATCCCTGTCAAACACAACAGAAGCTTGCTGATACTCTCGGAGTAACTCGATCAGCTATTTCGCGGCGTTTAAAAAGAATTGGGAGGATACAGAAGGAAGGTCGTGGGTGCCCCATCTTACCTCAGAAAACAAAAGTCGACGCTGTGGAATTGTCATGTGCCTACTGACCAGATTCAAACAAAAAGACTTTTTACATAAAATTTTGACAGGGGATGAAAAGTGGATATTTTACGACAATCCTAAGAGGCGAAAATCGTGGGTTTATCCGGGGGAGCCGTCAACGAGTACTGCAAAACCGAACATTCACGCGAAAAAATTGTCGATGTGTATTTGGTGGGATTCCGAAGGTGTAATCTATTATGAGATACTCGAACAGGGGAAAACCGTCACTACTAAACGTTATAGGGACCAACTGGTGAAATCGAGTGATGCTATTGAGGAAAAGAGACCTTTTACTGATAGTCTTACGAGACAAGTAATTTTGCTGCAGGACAACGCGCGGCCGCACACAGTAAATGAAACCCTGAAAGTTATCTCCACGGTGGGCTGGGAAATTCTCCCACATGAAGCGAATTCTCCAGACCTTGGGCCTTCTGACTATCACCTAGCTGTGTTAACACAGCCGGCAACTGACTAAAGACAAATACCCGTCATAAGACAAAAACTCGAGTGCCTAAAACACGCTACAATACCTCTGACAATAAATACGGTAATACAACGGTCTCTGAACGAATAGGTCGAAAACTAAATGCGATGACTTCAGGTTTTCAGAGGCCATGAGAAATAATAGAAATACCTCGAGAGAAAATACGACTAATCTCGGGATTTCAAACCGCTGTAATATCCGAGAAATCGATGTTAATTACGCGGTGCAGGTGAAACGAGATTCAACAAAATGAACTATTTGAATCAACTGGAACTAATGAAATTTATCCAGAGGAAATAAAATTCAAATCCCATAAATTAACCGGACAAATAAGTTGATCAAAAATCGGGCCCGAAAATCGACCCTGCCGAACAAGGGGTGAACAACGGCCTGAAAATATTACAAACTCAAATGGCGTCAATCGCCACAGATCAAGCGTCCGTCGAAAGCCGATTGCCAAACTCACTCCTTGTGAGACACTTTTAACACTTCAAAATAAATTCACCGCTCACCAGTCAATTAGTTTTCGATGACGGTCGTTCTGGTCTCAAGCCGTTCCCCAAAATGTTCAAGACAGCCCTCAGAAGAGCCTCG